TCATAATGCCACTCGATATGACCAAGCAGCAGTGACAACACCATTATGCATGAATATTCCTCCAGACAACACAACCGCTACCTAGACACACTCGTGCCAATACATTAATATAGTCGTCACAATATAACCCTCTAAGCATAATATATCAAATAGGAGGAGCCATTACAACTGGTCAGCACGCTGTTGAGTGGGGATGCTTCATCAAAGGATAACACAGAATAACGCTGGGTTTCCTTATTTTTTACAAATTTCTTATTAATTTTGCAATGACTCCCCATTTGTTTCAGTTATTTAGATCAGCATAACCTCAACACTCTACTGCAAAAGCATGCTTGGCCTCATACAGAATGCCACGTCTGGCTACTTGGCTACTACACTTGAATACTGGCACATTTGCAATATTGCCCTAGATGGGAGGGGGGACACGAGCCGCGTCAAAGAATCTTGTCTATTTGAGCATCAAATTTCATAAATCGTAAAGCAGGTATGAAGTTTTATGGTGTTTTAATACCGTGCATAGTAGAAGTGCCTTGCATACAATACACCGAGCCATTCAGTTTCAAATATTCGCATTACCCTAGTTAGTATGCTAATAATTGATGTTAGACATCTAATGCACTCGAGCAAGTTCTAATCTGTTCACTACTTGATCTAGGTGAACAACTCTCATGAGAGCTACGGCAGCAATCACTCAGGCTTGCTTCAGGTTAAACTATCTGGGAAGGTAGACACCATTATTGCTAATCTCACTCCCCCTTAAATGCTTTTTAGAAATGACTAAGCCCCAATAGATGAAGCCTTAGGGTCAGTCTTTTTTTTCTTCATTTTATTTTTCCCTGTTTATATGTCTATAACTTTTCACTGAATATATGCCTAATAGAATTGTGATGTAGAGTTGACATGTTCGCTGTGGCAAGCTTTTTTGAGGTTTCGTTTCATGTGCGGAGTGACCCACCGGTGCGCCACGACATCTAACACACACAAAAAAATTGCTAGTGATTATTTATAACCTTTCGCTACAAGATTTGTACCTCTGCATTCATGTTTTATGAAGCTATCGCATGAGCAAGCAAGTGCACGCTCGTAACATCACAGCCGCATAGGAGCACAGGCAATGAATGGCCCACTAGTGACCCACATCGCAGTAGACTGATTAAAGCATTACTGGTGTGACGACTCTGGCTGCCATCGAAATGAAGACACCCGCTCACTGGTGACTTGCTTTTAATGGCAGTGCTCGTCCCGTGTGTTCCTTCACAGTGATTACCTCTGCTTCGTGTTTTTACATTTCACAGATGTGTAGCCAATTAGCTCAAGGAACAGCACTTCTGCTATTCACTGAAATGCACCAGTTGTAATAGCGCTAGTGAAATGACATGTGGGTGCGGTGAGATCGCTGTCACACGCACTCTTTTTACAAGAATTTTGATGATTGAAGCCTGCAAAGGTGAAGTATTTGTTCTATGTAGCTCAGAGAAAAGTCCCTTCATTGTAAAATTTGTTGTTCAGCCATGTAAGAATAAGCACAGCCTTCACACTACTCAACTTCCATTAGTTACCCGTAATTCGTAATTAGTAAACACAAGAGTACAATTTACTGCTCACTGAAAGTATACCGATCTCGACCGCTGCATGTCAAACAAATCATTTTACGATTAGCTCTAACTGCAAAGAATTTTGTGTGACAAAAATAAAGACCCTGTTTCACACATTTACAGGGTGTATGGAAGCCATTTTAACTAATTAAAAATATTGTCTTAAAAAAGATTGTCTAAAAACCTAACTGTAGCAGAGGCGCAACAGCATACAGCACAAAAAGGGTCAGACTTGTGTGGGACGTATGGTGCTGCCGCCAAATTGCTACAGCATCTCATGCACCACATCTAGTGCACTGCCTACATGAAGAGTTTTCGTGCAGCAGAAGTGCGAGCCGACTGAAACCGATGACAATTGCATCATAAATTCTGTTCCCATGATTCAAATATAAAGCGAAATGCTACAAGCCATCACAAATAAGCCTGCATTCATGGAAATGCCTTCAGGACAAGCTAAGTACAAACTACTATAATGTACAAAATTGTATCCCACAAATAGGTTGACCACAGCAAGTGCTTTGAACCCAATATATTTTGTGTACTACATGAAAGAAGCCTTTTTAGCGATGCCATTTACCTCCCACAGTTGGTGTTCGACATATTAGGCATGCTAATGTAGATAAGTGCAAAAAAATAATAAGACAGGTTTCAGGAATGTGATTGTCTATGCATGTGTAGCGGTAAAACTACAAAAATGAATTTGGCAAATGAAACTAAAGGGTGATCACGCTTCATTTTAGGATGATTTTTGTATCAATGTTCTCACTTATATGGCCAGTACAACCTGACTGTCATGATGCCAACAAAACAATTAATTATCAATTGCAGAATTCATAGTTAAACTTGACCATGTGAAAGCTTTGCCATATACGACAAAGAACACAATCACTGCATAGGAGAAACCCACACTAGCATATACTTTGTTTAAATATGTCACATTTTTTATTGAAAAAAAAAAAAAGGTTCATCTTGTTCCCCTGACACCTTCGCAGTGCCGAATATTAACACAGCTTTGTTGATTGAGAACCGTGCAAATGTTGACTAAAAACAAGTTCATATGATACACTGCATAAGAAATTTAAAAAGAAATCATATGATGAGAATGGAACCCAAATGTATCAGAAACACTAAAAATTCATTTGGACCTTTGCTCAAAATCCTAGTGAAATGACATTGCTTCACTGCTCTAAAAATGAGCGGTAAGTGATGCCAACCACAAAGCTGGAAATGAAGGCTACTGCTACAGAAATTACCAGAACAGTTCACACCAGTTACACTGCTCATATAGTAATGACATGAAGTACATGGAATCATTAAACAAAGTGCCCCATAAGTACACACAGCACAGTGACATAGTATATTCTGACAGACAAATTGATTCCTGCAATAATGAAAGATGGCATCCTCATCAGAGTTGCTTAGGGTTGAGTGCAGCTGTATATGCATCGAATTTCATGATTGAGAATAGAAAATCAAGTCAGACACTTTCAATTTCCAAAGGCTATGAACTGCTAGTTGGTCACACATGTATATACATCAAGCCACAAATATTTAATTGCCTCAGATGAAGCCCTTTCTTTTTCCTAACACTTACCAAGTTTCACTGTATTATATGCTATGTTGAATAATGTATTTAATGAAAAAAGAACAATTCCCAGCTAAAAAGTTCCAGTATACAGCATTCAGAATGTAAATACAATGAAAAATTTCTGGAGGCATCTTGAAGATGCCAATTTAATAATTTGAGTATTTGGACTGCTTTAATGCAATATGTGCAAGCTTAAGCTCAATTTTTCAGTGACATTGCACCAAGAGGATGCTCAAAATATTAATACAGAAAACCCATACATACTTTTCAGCTGCTGCACTAAACAGCCTAAAAAAAACTACAGCTATGACAAAAGTCACAACCTTCTCATGTCAAGTACCCTTCAATGACCAAAACACAGATCTGCAGCTGTGGCAGAAAAAGGACAGCAGTGTTTTTTTCTGTACATTCGACTAAACTCTAAGCCTACCCTGTGCTAATGATGCAATATTACAAGTGAACTTTGTAACACTCGAGAGCTTTTGAGAATTAAACTGCATAAAGCATAGGTTCAAAGAATAGCAGCCGTTCGGACCATGCATACATTGCTCGAGGTCCATTGATTGATATGTGGGGTTTAACGTCCCAAAACCACTATATGATTATGGGAGACGCCGTAGTGGAGGGCTCCGGAAATTTGAGACCACCTGGGGTTCTTTAACGTGCACCCAAATCTGAGCACACGGGCCTACAACATTTCCGCCTCCATCGGAAATGCAGCCGCCGCAGCCGGGATTCGAACCCGCGCCCTGCGGGTCAGCAGCCGAGTACCTTAGCCACTAGATTGCTCGAGGTCCAATACAAGAAGGCTGCCAATATTCACAAATTGGATGCGATACACATGAATGGCTCATTTACTTAAACGAACACTTCCGATATTCTTATAAAATCTAATTCAAAGGTGGTATTTATGTTTTGACAGACCACTATGACGCGCATTCGAATGAAATCTGCGCACGTCTTGTCCGAACGCATTCCACATACAGCAAGGCATCGAACAAGAGCTAGATGTTTCAGTGCTTACGCTGCTGCCACACGGGGGAAATTTTCAACGGAGCTACAAATGAAACAGACGAGGATTGCACACTTGGGCTGGTGCTTGTCTGCTTGCCCGAAAAATAAACAAAAAAAAACAGCCCTCACACATATTAAAAAATAGTAATAATAAAGAGAACACTGCACGTCACTCGGTTTCCGTGCGCGCACACACACAGCACCCTGCGTTGAGTCGTAGATTTTGAATAGCCTTTTAATTAACACTAACCATAGTTCGTCGGCAGTAATCTGTGCACACACTTAAGCGGCACAGTTTCATGCAATACGCACTCGGTGGTCCTGCGGTTTCGGTTTTCGTTCGCAGAAGCATGTCAGATAGAAGATTACCCAGAATTTTGATTTCGGAAAGGAAGAGGGAGTACAGTTAAAGCGAAAAGATAAAGCGCAATTATTGAAAACTACTAATGCAATCTGCAACTAACAGCTTATAGTAAAGCTGTCTTGCAATGGTATTTAGCTAACAATATACAGCCGCTCTAGCGTGGCATATCGAAATTTAGTGTAGTACACGCAAAACGGGTTCACGCGGGCAGAATAAAAATTTGGCGAAGTACCTGATTACGGGATTTACTATCTGAAGTGCTACTTAGTCAACGCTCTTATCGCGCAGACGTTGCCGACACCTCATGACAGAGATGCGAAGGAAAGGGATACTTCACCTTCCACGGCAAAGCATCCCCCTTGGTGCTAAAGGTGGCAACCGCGACACTATCAGTTTTTAAAGAGCCTTTCAAGAAACAGGAACAGACAGAAATACTCACCCATACGCAGAGTGGTTCTTGAAACATGAAGTAAACGATCTCCAACAGCCGCCGTATGCAGTGATGCTCCAACAGAAACTGTTCAAGCGTAAGCTGATGGTTGCTCACGAAAGTAAGGTTGCCCACAGTCATCGAGGTATCAATATCCGTGGTGAAGTCAAAGTTGAACGTCGCGTTGATCTTCCATTCCAGCTGCGAGGTGACTTGAAAGGCATAATAAACCGATCCCGATAGCAGCAAGACGCTGATGACCGTGTACGCCTGCAAGCTCGGCAGGGGCAACCGATCCAACAGAATCGCCGGCATGCTTGGCTCCAGGCTGGGTTCGTACCTCGAAGATCACCAAATGTCTAGAAACGTCGGCATTTCTCAGTCTCGAAGAAAGGAACGACAGCCACTTTCTAACCTGACATCATTTTTTTCTTCATCAGATGTCGAACACTGCGCGAGAGGCGAGCTGGGTACTACTACGCCGATGAAAATAGAGCACGTTTGATTGGCTGCCCGCGACTGGTAAATTTTAGGCGTTCGGTCAGTGCCAAACAAAAAGTACGTTTTTTATCTCGCGGCAGAAAACAGGGTACTGAAGACGACTTACAAGGGCTTTTTCGTGGGCCGTACTGCGAGTCACAAACGCATCACGTTGCGCCGCAGGGATTCACCTCCGCACTACTTCCTTAAGCTGAGGGCTCGCTAAACAAGCGCTGAAAGAGCGTGCACACCCTCGTTCTCAGCTGTTCGCCGCGCCTGCGTACTCTCCACCCAGCTGCTGGCGCCAAGCTGAAAATGTCGTCCGCCTCTGGGACATGGATCACGCCCAGCTTCGGAGACTATTTCTCGCTCGATGACATATTGACTACTAATGAGCGGGTCCCCTGCAAGATAGAACTTCCCATACCGAAACTTGGTACGTAGTGGAAGGGCATATACGGTGCCGATTGCACTCGTAGTACTTCACGCGCATGCTTGCGAGAAGACTGCCCGATAATGTTGTTACTTGTGGGTGATTCACACTTGCGCTGGCTGTACTAGTTGGAGCGAAGCCGTCGAGGGGGCAAGTGCCCTTAGTGTGGGGATAACAGCTTCGCAAGTTTGTGTATACGTGTGTGTGTGAACGGGCGCCTTTTGAAAATTGTAGCCGGAAAAATGTCCTGATGTTTTGCGTTTTCCGCTGTCATGTTTTTGCCGGAATTCCGCAGCAAAATCGCTGTTTTAGGTCGGTATTTTTGACGAATATTCGTGGCCCCTCTGCCTGTCGGATCAGTTCGGCAACAAAAGTGCTATCGGCGATGCACATCACGCCATCGGCGAAGTCAGCTGCCTGGAGTGCTGCTGACTTCGCCGGCAGCTGACACATGCCAAGCATGTGTTTAAGGGATGTGGACCGAAAAAGCAGTTTTTAGAAATTGAAACTTCATCAATGCAGGATCACAAGCTAAAATAAAAATTTACGTTAATGTTGATACAAATAAAAAAAACAGATCGTTTTTTTTTGTTGTTGTTAGTATGTAAATACACGAATCACCGCGCACACAGCGAGGAAAAAGAAAGCGATAGGAAATTATATATATATATATAACTTTAGACCCGCCATTACCTCTGTCTCTAATCGCATCTGATAGCCCGCATCGCTTTCTGCTCAGATATACTCCTTTTTCGATTTTCGGCTTTTCTTTATATATTTTTTTCAGCCCAAAATTACGTTTTGTTTGAAAAACCATTGGCCTTTTAGTTAAGATCCTGCCGCCCGGTTCGTGGCCGATCCCCCTTTGTGGGTGTGCGCCAGAGTATCAAGGATCATCATCATCATCACTTCAAAAATGCAACAACTGAGGTAGGCTGACAAAACTGGGTGTTGTTTTTAGCAGAACACCGCACTCTGTAAGTTCGCAAGTGTTACATAATTTCAAGATTGCATCAAAAACCTAAGTATTGTTAAATTCAAATTTATGTGTAATACGCTTGCGTCGTCACATAATAGCAGCAATAAAGTGGACTCGTCATGTCAGCATGCACTGATTTGATAAGAGATCGAAAGTTGGTACCAATGATAACGTCCAGTTGGATAGTGTTGGAGTTGTAATCGACCCCTGTTAAATGAGCATATGCTGCAATAGACAATCGTCCCCTGCGGTGGTATAGCGATTATGGTGCTCAGCTGCTGACTCAAAGGTCGCGGGTTTGATCCCGACATGGTGGTCGTATTTTGATGGAGGCGAAATTCTAGAGCCCGATGTGTCTTGTTATGTCAGAACACGTTACAGAGCACCAAAAGGTCAAAAGTTCCGAAGCCCTCTACTGTGGTGCCCCTCATAATCATATCGTGGTTTTGTGATGTGAAACCCCGTATATACATGAATGGGCAGCCCTCTGAGTAGACTTATACAGAATACCACTCCTACTGTGCAATTTCTTCAAAAACCACCATTTGAATTCTTGGTGCATGGTCCTTGCTTGAGCACCTGCATTTAACAAAGCTAGGCTTGGATCACCACAATTTCAGAACCTTTGTGGCAGTTTTTCATTCAGCTGCTTTGTGCTAAAAATGTGCACATTCAGTAAGAATGTGTTTTGGCTGCATTTATCACTCAGAGAGTCTAATGTGCACATAAAAAAAAGTTATGGGTCCAGACCCCATGCATCTTTCAGTCTCTACAACTTACATTATTGTCTTGGTATATTGTCCCTTGAAAAGGACACTAAAGTGAGAGACTATGTCAATTTAAACTGATGATCTATTCTATCACGATTCGATTGTCATTAATTTTGAGACTGTGGACTCATTATTGCAAGAAAAAAGTAAGGTTTCTTTTTTAAAATTTATTTTGGAACCTCAACAGCAGGGGACTGATGTCACAGGCTTCATTGTATTCTTTTGCATTGTGGCTTTAGCTTAATGAAACTTTTCGAAACTTGACTGGCTTCCTTGGATTACAATGTAATTCATTTGTACTTACAAATAATTAAATGTATGTCCTAGAAGATGTTGCCAAAATCAGTGATATCATCGCAAGCTAATATGAAAGAATCAATGTAAAATCGTCAACCTTCTTTTGTTTTTGCACATTTTCTGGCTTCCAAAGTGTGCTTTCTAGCACACATGACTGGTATCTTTGTCACTAGGGAGTGTAATTTGCTAATATGATGGATAAATCGATCATTTTTGTCTTTAGTGTCTAATATATCTACTTATACTATCAAGAACAATATGGTGCCATCTTTGTGAAACAGCTTGATCGTATTGTCCTGAAAAGTAAACAGATCCTTGTGAAGAGTTCAATTGGCAGGAGCTGGTAATTTTTTTTCTCTATTCTTTTTTGTTTAAACACTGCGAGTAGCTCACAATGACCACAATTAAACTTTCTTGCTTTTCCATTCCTGTAATTTTTTTTCCTGACCAGTACTGTTAAGTGTTGCAATTATTTAACTTTGGGCATTATATTTTACTGTAAATGTTCATTCTTGTGCTTCAGTTGGTCAAATTACATGCCTAAATCATGTATTTTTTATTCTCAATGGTTATAGTAAACATGCTTGTTTTAAAAAGCAAATGAGCAAATGTATATTGAGAGGAAAGGCACTTGTGAAGAAGCTCATATTATTAGCATATATTGATGTGCAGGCTCATACCTTGTTGATACCTTGCTGTCGTGCTGCATATGAAGCAGAGTTTTTTTTTGTGTGTGTGTATGTGTTTGACACTCACAAGGCATCACTGATCGTAATGGTTGAACAATAGTAGCCCCAGCTTGGAGCCAGCATTTCAATATAGGGACTTGTTGGCGTTACACCCTTATTTTGGTGACTTTTCATGGGTGGTTGGCCAAGACCCCTTTGTTGTGCTAAAATGGTGGGTGATAGGGCCTTTCATTTAGAATAAGCAGTATTCATGGCGAGACTTAGCACGTGGAAAACTGTACGTAGAGAAGCTTTGTGTCTTATAAGCAGTAAGAGGGTAGCGAGTTGCAAAATGGTCAGGACGGCCAGTATTTGTGTAATTGTTTTCTTCACTGCCTGCGAATCGTTTATGCTGGCTGTCGGGATCATAAGCAGTATTTGCAAAGTTGGTTGCAAATGGTGGGAGGAGCTGAATTATCCTTGAATGGCATAGATTCTAGAAGAATTGACAGCTGGGAAAGTTGGTCATGATTCATACTGGATGCACGAAAATCATTATGGCTTGAGTCATTTGTCCTTGTGTTTTTTGAACATCCTGTATGAGGCACAGTTTTCTACCGTTATCTCCTCCATTTCCGGGTACTTGGTGGCAAAACAGGTACAAGTGCGCTTCCGTTCGACACCCATTCTGTAAGAAATCAACTGCCAGAGTTAGGGTTATCCTTGTTTTGGTATGGCAGCAGTGCCAACAAAGTTCAGCTTCCATTTCTGGTACAGTAGGTACAGAGTCACCAGTGCCGATCAGAAACCACAAGTGTTTTTTTGTAAGGGGTAGCGGGGCACTTCAACATGAAACTCATTTGTTTATTGGTACTCATCGTGAAAGGTGGCCCCATGATGTTCTTGAAAGGCCTTCCGTGCATCTTATACCACCACAGTCTTGGTGAAACAGTTGAGCATCTGGTGCTACTGTGAGAGGCAGAGAATTGCTACCACCAGGTACCTACCAGTATAACAGCTACATTCACAGTTTTGGCTAAGTTTTCAGCAAAATGAGGTCTCATAACAGCTGTCGCTGTAACGAGATCACGACAAGGGTGTTGTAGTTGTCTGCAGCTGCCGGCATCCGAAACCACTGTCGCTCGAAATGAGACAAAAAAATTTAAATAAAAAATGAATTGGAAGATCCTACGTATAGTGGGAATTAATGATTTGCGAAGCACGAATCAGAAAGGTTGATATGTCACTTTAAAATCAGCACAATGTTACGAGGCTGACGTAAATTAGGCCGTACATGACTTTCATGTCATGATTATTGTGTTTGTGCGTGTCATTTGTGTTCGTCGTCCATTCACGTCACGTAATACCAAATTTGGCATATGTAAAGCTAGCAAAACGACTGCGGGTGCACCGTGAGCCCGATGTGTATTCATGGCTTATATGACTTGCATGTCATGATTCAACGTTAGGGCCTGTCACTTGTGTTCGCCTTGCAGTGGTGTCATATCATATTAGTTTTTGCAATATGTCGTGAATGAAACCACCACATGAGCAGCAAGACCATAACATGTATATCATGATATACACGTCATGATTTTCATGTTATGACTAGTCACGCTCGTTATACAGTTATGTTATGCCATACCAATTTCTGTATAGATCCGATAATTGGAATGGCCCGGAGAGCTAAAAGTCGTAGGCGGCTAGATAGACAGACAGATACGGTGAAAGCTACCGAAGTTCGCTACGAAACGCTTCACATTTAAAATACCCAGGATGGAGCAGCTTTCGAACCTGCGTCATCTCCATGGGAGCGCATTGCTCTACCACTGAGCTGTGCAGGCACATGAAATTCCATTGCAAATTCACCCTATGCAGGCTTCTTGTCGGGTAAGGAATTGTGTTAGCATGTGTAGTAAGGCATTTTAGAACAGTAAAAAACAACCAGGTGTCACACAACGTGAATTATGTAAAAAGTGGGTTGGAGGGATTACAAAAGCGTCAGACAAAATTTCTTGTCATCATACCCAGCATAAACAAAGTGCACGTAATGCCTTACAAGTGTGTAGCGGGTAGCACACTGCTCTGAAGAATGACGAAAATTGCATAGTGGACACTTCATGTAATTTATGGCAAAGTGGGTACTGTGCAAGGGCTGTCCCAGAAGTGTAAAAAAGGCTCTGGACAGGACACTTTTTCAGCTTTTGCTATCACTGGTGCACGTTGCGCACATGCTTCATGTTGTTTTTTTTATAGCAAAACTCTCAGGCTTGAAAACTGCCATGCGTGTAGATGAAAAACTATTATCATGAACCGGCACGCACTCCCTTCACCTTCCTCTTCGTCACTTTCCTCTTTTGGTTCACTCTCACAACATATGGGCCGTATTTCTGACAGGGGATGCTATAACTTTGATGAGTAAGAGAACAAGTACACAGGGAGAGAGATAAATTATTGAAGAAAGAAAATTTTATTTTGGGCAAGGCGAAATTTGAACCCGCATCTCCAAAATATGAAGGTGGGCATCGTTACCACTCGGCTATCTAGGCACGCTAGCAGAGCATAGCATAGCTTTGCATAGTGTGGTAAAGTAAGAGGTAGGAAAGGTAAGGGTGGGTTAGAAAAATCTAAATGAGGAGGGGAGAATGAGTACAGAGAGAGGGAGAAAGAGAAGAAATAGAGGAAAAGATGCAGACAAAGAAGTAAATAGACATTGAGAGAAAGAAATGGAAAGACCCAGACAAAAAAAAGATAAAAAAGAGGGCAAGAATAGCCATCTATAGTATAGTATATATAGCAAGGGGTGGGGAAGAGAAAGACTGGCAGGTAAAAGCCTCGTCAAGCCAGGACCGGCTAGGTGCCCACCAGTTGTGCTGTGACCCAGCCCCGCACGACTTATTGCAAGCTGCACCCCGCAGGGGCGTCTGTGCAATAGGGCGTATGGTGTATAGCGACACCACGAACCCAAACTAACGGGGGGAGGGGTTTCGACTCCCTCCCACGCCCAGCCGTGCGTGGCTTTGTCGTGTCCGGGGAAAAGGAGATCCTGGGGGTTGAGCTGACGCTGGGTGATCGGACCTTTAAGGCCCCCCTGCAGCGGCAACACACCCCTTTGGCCCCGGCTTCACGTAGATGGCACCCCTGGGCTGACCCATTCAGGGGAAATTGGCAGTCGCCTTTTTCTATCTCTCTCCTCTACAACTTTGTCTTTATCTCTCACTTTTAGCCTGTCCTGTCTACTTATCTCTTCTGTTTACTTCCAATATACCTGGCGGCAAGGGTTAACCCTGTGCTTAGTAAGATAAACTGGCGCTCTTTGGCCATGAAATGGCCCTTGCGCCGCAAAACATCAAACATCATCATCATTATTGCAAGCTGCACTAATTTATTTTTCTTTGCAATTTCCCATGCCATAGTGTGGGCTTTTGCGACATATTATAAGACCACCCTTTTTTCCCACCGACATTTTTTTTCGATGCGGTTCTTTTCAGAAAGTGTTTTTCATGTCCATTTTTCATACTGCTCCTGGCTAAATGCGCATTGTAGGTGGGAACCGCGAATTTGCAGGCATTACGGCTCGTGTAAGTTTCTATCGAAACGGACCTGGCAAGCCTGCATTGTCTCTGAAGTTGAGAACGCTAGCTGCTCTCAGAAAATATGCACGCAGGTGTTCATTTCAATATTCACCTGATTTTACAGCATGTAGGGTGGCATTTGTGAGAAGGAAAGTCATTTGCATTTGCGGTGCCTTGCTGTTATGTTATTTGTGTGTTGTATTCGCATATTGTGTAAGGTTGTTTAGCGTGTCACGTCACAAGAAATGTATTAGATTCGGCAGAGGATATCATCGTTGTAAAAGCAGGTTAATATATATACATGTGTTCGGTTTGTCCAACAGCGTCTACTGTTTTTGTGTGTTCCATTAGCACGGCTCTTTTTAGACCCCACATACTTCAGACATGAATATCAACACATGATCTTTGAACTGTGCATGGCCATTTGAAATGCCGATTTGTGGAGAAGTGCCAATTTATCCACTCTACAGTTAGATTTGGCTTTAAAGGATACCTTTTATTATAATGACCATAAGTATAGTCATGTTGAAGCACCAAAAGAAACTTGCCAGCAAAAAAAAAAAAAAAAAAAAAAAACAAAGCATTTGGAAACCTAAATTATACTACATTGTTCATGTATTCAATGAAGACATCTATTCGTCTTCTTCTTTGTCTTCATAATGCTTTTATGTGCTACTTCACTAATTGGTGTGATTTTTTAGCAGCAACTCTGCACTGCTTCTAGGCATGTGGTTGCAGGTTTTTTTCTTGGCTATAGTGACTGCATTTGTAATAAAAGAAAGAGAAAAGAAACATTGGTTATTCCAAGAATGTAGCTTCGGAGAGGCGTCCGTGGTCCAGTATATGGTTAGGTTGGGCTGTGTCTAGATCCTGCGGTGCAACAGCGGTGTACTCAAAATTCAGCACGAATTCTTATTGAATCCTGTCTGGAGCCATCCAAGGTACAGGTCTCAGTTTAGCTTGAAGACATAACATAAGTTAAGCATTTAAGCTTTTATTATACCCCTCGTCATGAATCAGTTAGCTTTCCGTTCTGTTGTAGGCGTGAAGTTGTGAACTAGATTCCTAGCCGCAGCAGCTACATTCTGATGAGATAGTGAAATACTGATGTGGCATGTTTCTGGTTTATGTTGAAGAACCCTATTTTTAAAATATATCAGTTTATCATAAAAGTGTTGGAAAGTGTTTGAAAGTGTTTGGCATGCAAGGAGAACAAGTAGCAATTTGTAAAATGCAATTTTCACTTTAACATCCTCATTGCCACTCTATTTTGTTAATTCTGACCATAAATGACCCTTTCTTTTTTCACGTGGAATCTCGATGAAACACGGTATCAAAGTATTTTATTAGTCTATTGTTTATTACAATATTGAATCTGAACCGCACTATAGAATAAGATGAAGTAAACTCAGAAATATTACCAACAAGCTGAGCTGGCATTTTTGGCCACAAGAATGGGGCTTGTCCCTGGCAAAGAAAAGATTGAGGTTCTTTCATTGGGCCCCCTAAGAATTTGCCAGGGGCAATTCACAAAGCATTCTGCTACATAAATTGAAAACAAGGGGGGGATCTAGGAATATTTTGGACTAAGGCTAGCGAATTGTTGCTAGATGAGAGCATGCTGATTTTCCTGCAGCGGAGGCTCTCTCCCAGTGTCTTGACTAGCATGCACTAGTGACATTTCTTCCCTGCCTTGCCATCAAGCACATTTAAGAGCTCACGAAAAATTTACGTTCTGGCCTGACATACTTTTTTTCTATCTGATGTCATTATTTATGCATTACACATTTCTGGTGGTGCATATTTGTGCCTACTATTTCATGGTAATCTCGTAGTTTGTGTGACTGTCTACTGTTTGTGGACTTCAGGTGCAATGCAAAACATGGAAGTGAGAGCTCTGCCATCAGCTCTCCAGACAACAGGTTCTACAGAGGATGGCACACAGGCTTTTATTTCAATTTCAAGCTACTTTCGTGAATAGTACTATTTTATCTTTGCATCTCTGATTGAGCACTTGAGCGCAGCATTTTTCTAGGTATTAATTTGAGGGCTTTTTTTAACACCGTGGAAGTATCTATCTGTCACCTGAGTACTAGACATATACTTCTAATCTGTAATTTTGCACCTTGCCATGCCTCATGGCAGCACACCCTGTTAGTAGCAGTAGAGATGGTATGCTGTTGACATCTGAAATTCCAGAGAAGAGGAGAACAGTGTACTTTGTGTATTGTGTGTGCATAAAATTAACAGATATTGACAATCTGCCATTGCTTTTGGCTGTTCTTGGCACTTGGGACCATATGCAGCCATTTTATAGAAGAGACTGCATTAGCACTGGCATCTGTAAGAACCATAAAGAGTATCTCTGGAAGGGCTTGTTCCTTGATATTTATAAGACTTTGGCCACTGCTTGTCTAGCTTGCTTCGTGAGCAGGCATCACAGATCTAATTCTTTGACAACCTCGGCAAATGCTTTGAAGTGCTTGTGCATGCAATTATGTGACATTAATCTATCCGGGCCGGCTGTTCTGAATATTCACTATATCTGCTAATGTTGGGATCTAGGGATTCTTTATTTACATTGCCTTTTCAATGGTCATGGACCACTTTTTTTTTTCTTTTAAAATATCCTAATTTATTGATGAATATGTGGTACTGCTGTGTAGCGTGTGGTGTTTGCCTGACTCATTGTTTGGTTGCACTTCTTTGGCACTGTACAATCACTGACATTTGATATGTTCAGGTGTACTGGGTAAGATCTGGGGCACTTATGTTCCACAAGTGGCACTTATGGTCCATTTAAGTGGATAGCTTCTCACAACACTGCTTTTTTTTTTTTTTGCTGTGAGACTGCACCCATGGCGTTTCTCTACCGGTAACCCTGTAGTCTTCGGTATGGCATGGAAGTATTTCAAATTCTTTTCCTGTCCCCTTTCTACTGTTGACGACCCTCATTATAGCTTAAATGCACAATTGACAGTGAAAGATAGCAAATAATCACATGCCAAATAATACTGTGCAACACTCCATGTGCAGTAGCTGGCATTAAGAGCAGTCTTCAGCTGGAGGCCTTTTTTCTTTTTTACCATCACATGAGCAATATTTGCTCAAGTTTAGGCTATCCTGCTTTTCCACTATCATGCAACGTGCTCTCCGACAGCTATATTGTCTCCCATGACATCATGTAGTCTCTCAGGTATCATTTTAAACTTATATTAGTGCATGCTTGCAGGTTGGACATTGCATTAAAATATGAAAATACAAGAAAATTGACTTGCCAATGTTTAACAATTGGACAAACTTCCAGCGTAGTGTTGCTCTTTACAGGAGGCGTCACACCGAGAAATGGCACGAAGGGGAAGTTTGGCATGGGCATGTGGCCCGTAGATTCATGCTTTCTGCTGTGCAGTTAGTAATTTGTAGTTTACACTGAACAATAAACAATGCTATCTTGTCTCCTTTCTTTAGGATCACTAGACTCCTCTTCAAAAGAAGAAGACCTAAAGCCAGGAACAAAGCTTGATCTGCCATACTGGTTGGCTGCACCCCTGCTCAGTCGTCGCATTGTTTCTGCTGAAGTTCCAAAAGTGTACCGGGAAACATACAGAGAGATCCTTGGGGCTGATGCTGTTGCTGTGGACCTGTACAGACTTCAGCCACAATATTACAAATTTGGGCTGCTTATACAAAGGCTTCCCGTGTCAGATGTGGAATATGTCAACAACAGCCTTATTGAGGTAAACAATTTTGATTTTTATGTTGCATGTTTATTGAACACTTAGGCATCTACAAATGAAAAAGCATTGACATATTTAAGAACCTAAAGTAGTTGCATACTTACCCAAGCATCGTCTTATGGGCCACTCGTCTATTGGCCGCGATATCGAGCAGAGTCGCTGCCTCGCGGCAACTGGCCGAAGTGGCGAAGTGTGGATTGCTCCGTGCGTCGCCTACTAGCCAAGTCGCGTTTCTATGTGCATGTATGTCATGCACATTCTCGAAGTGTGGTTTGTCCGGTCGTGTCAGCGCGTGTGTAACTGTTTCAACGAGTGCCTGAAACGACGTACGGAACATTTGGTCTTGCTCGGCCGCTAATGCATTGTCACAAGATCGGCAAGTGCGACTTTCCAAAGTGCTGTTTATTGTCGTCGTACCGTCTATTCACCAGAATAATTTCAGAGTGGGTGCCGCTTTCTGATTCAAGCACATCGCAAAATGCTCTTGGCATCCTTCCAAACATGAGGACTATTAAATGGTGTGTGAATGCAGCATTTTATAATGACTCGGCTGTAAAAAAAAAAGAATGGCTCTAAATCATGTATTTGCGCGCTGTTGGTAGGTGTAGAACTACGGTACTGTAGTTTATCGATCATGCGAGAAGCCTTAGTTGTGTTTATCTGGACGTGGTACCACTGCATAAGAATAATAATATCACATAAACTGTGACACATCAGTGCTTAAACTGTACTTGAAACAGAGTTACCGTGCATAGCTGTGTGCTTAGATTTAAGAATGCTTTAAACAGCCCAGATGTTAAAAATCAATTCAGATGGCATGCCTTATATATAATGTATAATTCCACTGAAAATTGCATCTTTTTTGCATTGTCTTCAGCGTTTGTCTGGCATTGTTAGTGACCGACGGAAGGCAGTGGTCATTTTTTGTCTGAAAAAAAAAAAAAAACATGCTTGTCCCAATAACCAGGCTTTTGTTGTAGCACTCATGCACGTAATCCATTGATGAAAGCTTTCTGCTGAACTCTTATATAAGATTTATACATGTTTACTGGTGCAAGACATGAAAGTACACGTGGGAAAACCAGTGTAGTGCAAAGCGCCGCCAGCCACTAAGCTTTCCTGACTATACTTATCGACTTACTCACATTTCATTGTGAAAAGAATGGGAAAACAAATTTGTACGTGTATAAAGTGCTAACAGTGGCACTGAACTAATCACACAGATATGCGTTTTTTTTTGCAATCTTTCTTTCTCTATTTTTTGTATTATGCAGATGACAAAGATGTAAATTAGTTGTTCAGTCGCGCTATAGCAGTGCGTAGCAGGCGGAACACAAGCTAACCACGTACAAACAACGCAGCAAAGGCTTGATTTAGTGCGAAAGCGTGAAGAGAGCCACCCAGGGCGAGCATCCATATGAAAGGCATAATGCGCTTTACTCGCGGGTAACGTTAACGTTGCATAGGCGTTGTGCACTGATTCATTGGAGAAAAGCATAGATATTAACAGTAAATTGTTGACAACGCATTTTATCCGCTGACAATCGGCTCAGCTGCACGCAACGAACCACCGCTGCATGTATTTGTATACGTGCCGCCGACTGCCTATTCACACTTGCGCAGGGACAGTGCTGCCACATATAGCCTGATCTCGCCGTAAATTTGTAACAGATGAACTGTAAAGGGGACAGCTACAATGTTTACAGCAAAAATTGTAATGCCTGGTGTAGGTTAACTGGTCGCATGGTTGATTTTTCGTACTGCTTTAAGGGGCTATGGCATGTTGCTTTAAGAAGAATGTGACAGCTTGATTTCTCGGTTGTATAAGCCAAATTTCAATACTGACGTAATGTAAAAATCATTGCGTACCGAGAGTTTAGCGCATGCTTAAAAGTCTCATGAAGTTACCATTGTTCTGTAGCCACATATCGTAGCATTCTCATAACTGTGGATAGTGTGTGTGCATAAAATTTCTTGAATTGTATTGAGTTTCTGCTTGTGATGGCTAGACACCTCACATCTTATGATAAATTAGATTGTAATGGCATGTAAACTTGTTCATAAAAATTTTTTTTCGTTTCTTACTTTTCACCTTCCCTGCTCTTGTTTGAGTTTTCGTGATAGTATGTTAATAATAGAGGGTCAACAATACTTTGGTGTATCATTAGAACTATTGTAGGGCAATTTGTTATCATTAGCTTTTTTTTTAATTAAATAGGTGTGCAGTAGCTCTAGTGGTCAGTCCTTCGGACTAAACTTTTTGGGAACACATATGCAAATAATTAGTGAACATTCATTGGTATGTTTTTCAGAAACCAAAGACAGTTCAAGTATGCAGAAAAATGAGCTTGAAATAAAAAAAAGACACATCTATATTAGTCATATTCAAATGCCATTCAACTGAATTGATAAATTACATCAGTTAAGAGTATCATAACATGCAGAAGCTTAGTTGGCATCTATTTTGTACTGCCCCGCCTTGGTGGCCTAGTGGCTAAGGTACTGAACTGAACTTTTTTTTTTTTTTCTCCCGTGCTTGGGCTTGGTGCCCCAGTGAGTGTTTCGCGCACTCCAGTTCTTTCATGTGTCTCTTTGGCTTATCATCTTCTTCTTCGGTGGATATATTTCTCTGGCCTTTTCGGTGGCTTTTCCGGTCGTTTGCGTGTTGTCACAGCGGTTCGGGTGCCTGCTGTGTGAGGCAGAGCGAATGCAATTTTGTTTTCTACTCTTCTCTTACCTTTTTTCTTCTGTCTCTTTAATTACCATTCCCCCATCTCCTGCGCGGCATTGTGGAAGTGTCTTCCATCGAGAGAGACAGTAACGACACCATGATTATTTCTTCCCTTTTCCTTTCAATGTCGCTCACAAAATATTGATTGCTAAAAGTGAGCCCTAAACTTACACTACTTGAATTACATAAAGAAACTAAGGTACTCGGCTGCTGACCTGCAGGTCGCAGGATCCAAATCCCGGGTGTGGTGGCTGCATTTTTGATGGAGGCAAAAATGCTCTAGGCCCGTTTGCTCAGATTTGGGTGCACGTTAAAGAACCTCAGGTGGTTGAAATTTCCTGAGCTCTCCACTACGGCGTCTCTCATTATCATATGGTGGTTTTCAGACGTTGAACCCCACATATCAAACAATCTATTTTGTACTCTTGCAGAACTTAAGCTGTAGTTTCAGCAGGCATAGTTGTAATATTTATTTATGGCATGGCATGGTAGCACGTGGCGACATGGTAGTGCATGGCATAAGGACAGTAAACAATGAGCATTATTGCTATACCTGGATTGCATTGTAAGTTATTTTTAAGTAGCATCAGGACATGTCCCAACTTTTGATGTGCTAGAAGGATTGTCGCCTCAGTTGGGTTGATGTATCTATGAGGGTTCACATGAACACGACTCCATCCAAAGTAAGGCAGTCCACTAAGAACATGCACTTCAGTGATGTTAAAAAAACTTCAGCCATGCTGTGGTTTGTAGCTCATGTAGGGTAAATAATGGGACTACACCAAATGTTCAAGAAAAAAAAAAGAGAGACAAGTTGTTACAAAGGGCTGTTACATTTCTTATAGGCAACAATGTTCGTGCAGACGGTAAATATTTTTCAAAGGCTTTGAAGAGATTCATGTAATCTGTCCTGCTATTTTGCTATTTTTTGGCTTTGTGCCCCATCTTATGGTATTTACTCTGTCGCTCTAACTGACCATCGTTATCTGCCTTACACATTAAATGAACCTCCCGTCTCCTTTTTTTTGTAGTGTCCGCTAGAATATCCCTTTTCAACCTGGCAACATCTGTATTGGACAGAATGAAAAAGGCGGTGCAGAAAAGCATGCAGAGCTACAATTGAAACCGAAACCTCTTTGGCAGCTTCTGTAAAAGTCCAGCAATATATTTTTAAATGTAGTTCATCCTTTAGCCCTACTTTCCTAAAGGGCCACATCAGAGTAATGGCAGAATCTGAACGAAAACGAACCCACATGATGTGGTCAAGTATACAAAATTGTTTTAGGAGCTGTCTTTGTGCAATTCGAATAGTAATTTAAATCATGCAAGCTGTTTTACCTCTTCTTCAAAGGTAGCTTTTGTAACCAGAAGTTTGTTGGCAATGCGAAAATGTATTTATGTTTAGTACACTGGACACAAGTACGCAATTGATGCACATAGTGCTAAACATGCTGGGGAAAAGGAAAACAGGAGGCCGCGTCACATCACAGTCTTGTAGCCCAGCCATAAAAAATGAAACTGGGGCATGCTGGGACTCTAATGAAAGCATAGGGTACGAGGAGGGAGCGGCGTCTGATGAGGATGACTTGTGAGTGGTAGGTGTGCTCCCTCCTAGGGTCATGGTGCTGAATGCTATGTACAACAGCTAACCGCGAGAAACTTTTTCTTAGGTCAAAACGAACCATTTTTTTAAGATAATTAACTTTCTGACATTCGCTGTATGAAGGAGGTACTGGCTGTACTAACCAACAAGCTACGCGTTGAAAAATATAGAAAACAACGTAAATATGCCGCCTTTCCATGTATTAACTTTCATCATGCTCAGAAGCAATACTATTTCAAGGAAGATAGCAAAATGTACATACCCATACGTGCAACAAATGAATCCCAGTGTCCAGTATACTGGACATGGTTCTCCCGTGAAAACCATTGCACTTACTTTCTCCTTTATTTATTTTTTTTCACGCTTTTCAATGGCTTCTTCAAAAAGAACATTTTGTTTATCCTAGAAAAAATTCCGGTCCGAAAGCGATATAGGCTATGCCCACTTGTTTTCTGGCCCACTTTGCTGTCTTCCGATTGTTTACTATTATGCTCGTTATTTTCCTTTTTATTGCACACTGCCTAGTCACAAATTTTGTGTGGAATCAAGGGGTTCTTCGATGTGAAGAATGATTGTCGAGATACTGTCAGCACAGAAATAACCTGTAGCTTGTGTGGTCACATGAACCAGTATTGTAGAATTCTACAACTCCATGAACAAGATGAA